TGACTTACAGAAGGGTGTTCCTTCAGGAGGAACCCTGAATCAAGATGAGTGAGAAACCATCTGTATTACTTGCTGCAAATCTGACAACCTGAGTTTGATCCCCGGAGATCACGTATAAGAAAGAATGACTCCACAAAATTGTCCTCTGACCTCCACGCTGGCACCACGGCACCCACAAGTCCACCCCACATCATACACGTGAGTAAATAAATAAGGAGCCAGGTGTGGATCATGAGTTTTCATTCAACACCTGTGAATTTTTATCTATTTTTCGAGACAGCTGGTCTCAAACTTGCTTTTTAGCTGAGGATTATCTTGAACTTCTGATGCCCTGTACATACCAAAGTGCCGAGAGCAGAGTGTTTTTCTCTTTGCAAACAATGACAGAATCTGAACCTGTGACATTCTAGGCCTAGGGGACAAAGGGCAAAATAATCTGAAAGGGGTCCAGACTTCTACTTGCCTGTTTCATGCTGCAGATACTGTTTCAATAAAGAAAGAACAAAACTCTTGCTGAGGAGCACGGTTCTGGGAAATCTGCTGTTGGCTGTAAAATGGATGCTAAGAGTCAGGCTGCTGCTTTACTAAGGCATAAATGTAATGTAGCTTAGAAACACCTCACTAAAGAATCTGTAAAATAGGGGCTGGAGAGATGGGTACATATGTGCAGATAAAATACTCATATACGTAAAATAAATAAGAATGCATGCCATGGATATTCAGGGGGTTGCAGAGGCCAAAAGACAATGCTGGATCCTCTGGAGCTGGAGTTGCAGGCAGCTGTGAGCTGCCCAACATGGGTCCTGGGTACCAAACCTGGGTCCTCTGCAAAAACAGCAAGTGCTTTTAGCTGCTGAGCCATTTCTCCAGTTCCCTGCAATTATTATTTTGAACAAATTATGCTAGATCGATTTAAATTTTAAAAAATTTTATCTTATCTTCACTTAGTTTTTTCCCAATGCTCTTCTTTTTTAAAGATTTTATTTATTTTTATTTCATGTGTATGAGTGTTTTGCCTGTAAGTGCACCATGTACATGCAGTGGCCACGGAGGCCAGAAGAGGGCATTGTATCCCCTGAAAACGGAGTTACAAATGATTGTTAGCTGCCATGTGGGTGCTGGGAACAGAACTCTGGTCCTCTGTAAAAGCAGCAGCTGCTCCTAACCACTGAACCATCTGTCCGGCCCCCTCTTCCTTTCCTTTCAAAATAGTCATCTGCTGGATACTGTGGCACAGGCCTTCAACCCCAGCACTCTAGAGGAAGAAGCAGGTGGATCTCTGTGAGATCAAAGCCGGCCTGTTCTACACAGCGAGTTCCAGTCAGCTGGGGTTTCAGGGAGACCTGGTATCAAAAAATAAATATTAAAAAATTTTATTTATTTAGGGGCTAGAGAGATGACTCAAGGGTCAAGAGTACTTGCTTCTCCTTCAGGGGACCCAAGTTCAGTTTCCAGCCCCCAAACAGGGTGGCTCACAACAGCTTGTAACTCCGCTTCCAGGAAATCCGTCGCCCTCTTCTGAACTCTGGGCACTGCATGCACATGGTACACATACAGACACACACATACATATAAAATAAAGAAATAGGCTGGACGTGGTGGCGCATGCCTTTAATCCCAGCACTTGGGAGGCAGAGGCAGATGGATCTCTGTGAGTTCAAGGCCAGCCTGGTCGACATAGTGAGTTCCAGGACAGCTGGGGCTACAGGGAGACCCTGTCTCAAAAGAGACAAAAAAAAAAGAAGGAAAAAGTGTGTGTGTGCGCATGTCCAAGGCTGCATGTGGAGGGCAGAGGACGTCTTACAGGAGTCGGCAGCTTGGTGGCAAACGCCTTCACCTGCTGAGCCATCTTGCTTTCTTTACATGGATCCTACAGGGTAACTATTAACTGCTAATCTGATAAACTCCTTTTCCTGTTGTTAGTAGTAGTTGTGATGAAATCATACTACAGGCTCATTGAGGATCCCTAACCTAAAACTCAGAAATCCAAAATGCTCCCATCTGAAACTTCTGGAGCTGGACATGGTGCCACGTGCCTGTAGTCCCAGCTGCTTGGTAGGCTGAGGCAGGAGAAGTATTTTGTGCACAGGAGTTCAAGGCCAGGCTGAGCAACACAGCAAGACCTTGTCTCAAAAATAAGTTGGAAATTATTTGAGTGCTGACATGCACCTCAAGTGGACAGTTCACCTGACCTCATGTGGTGGGCCACTATCCAAATGCAGATGCAAAAAAAAATCATCTAACATTACTTCCAAGCTGTGTGAATAAGGTAGGTATGAGACATAAGTGAATTTTGTGTTAGACCTTGGGTTTCATTTCCAAGATAAATCATTATGTAAATATTGAGATATGTAAACATAATGCAAATATTCCAAAATCTGAAAAACATAAAAATCCGAAATACTTCTTCTCTCAAGCATTCTGGTAAGGACTACTCAGTCCAGATCTTCAAATCTAGACAGCTCAGATTGCCAGTTCCAGTCCCCTCAGCCACTTGTAGAACCAAATGCCTTGTCAGTCCAGGTAAAGGCAAGAGAATTTCTTTTGTTTTGTGTATTTGTGTTATAGAAAGGCAAACTGCCTCTTTTTTCCTCTCCTCTCACACCACACCAATCAACAAGGAGGCTCCTGTGACCTCAGAGCTGGGGGCCGGGGGGGGGGGGGAGGTTCTCCCCACCAGCCATGCCTCAGCAGTGAATGCCAGATTCCAGATCTTCTAATTTAATTTAATCGTGATAAAATTGACCTTGAGACAGAATGAGACCTCGAGTTAGGGTCCCCCAACAGCAAGTCTGGGACTCGGGAATTATTTTTTTCTTTTCTTTTTGTTTATTCTTTTGAGACAGGGTATCATGTAGCTCTGGGTTGCTTCCTATGTAGCTGAGAATGATCTTGAACTTCTAATCCTCTTGTCTCTACCTCCCAGTTGCTGGGATTGCAGGTGAGTGCCACCACTCACAGTTATATGCAGGGCTGGGAATCAAACTCAAGACTTTTTGCGTGCTAGGCAAGCACTCTATCAACTGAGCTATACCTTTAGCCTGTGGAATTTCTCACAAATCAGAAATAAACTGGGGTTTTCACACACACCCCGGATTTGATTACTTTGCTAGAATGCTCATGAAATTCAGGAAAACACTACACTAAATATCCTGGTTTATTACAAAGGGTATTTTAAAGAATAGAAATAAGCAGTCAGATAAAGAGACATAGGGCACGGTAGGGAACGGTCCTGTCTGTAGGCTTGGGGGTGACAACCTCCTAGCCCTTGCATGAGTACCTGTTCACTTTTCTGCAAGCCTGTATCCAAAGGCTTGTCAGCCCCTGTCCTTTGGGGTTGCTATGAAGACCTCAGGCATAGACATGGTTTCTCATGGACTGAGGAAACCCAGCAAGGCCTGTCTATTCTGATTCTTCTTGGCCTCTCTAGTATTCCTTCCTCCAGGGTACTAGGCAGGATCTCACTGTAATGAACATCTTATGCCCCTCATCAGACAAGGTAGGTCAGAGAATCTTTATGACCAGCTAAAGGGCAGGACAAGATTGCAGTTTCTAACATCCACCTTCAGAAGGGAGTTATAAGCCAGGGGCCATGTTTTTTATTTTTTAATAAAAGTCAATTTACTGTAATGAACTCACAAATAAAGACATCACACAGCTACGTTAAGGTGGCCGTCAAGCACCTGCCCAGTCCCCGACTACACATTTCCATAAACTCTGTACAGTTAGGGTGCAGGCTCTGAAATCCCGGAGCTTCACTTGGGCCTTTACACTTTCACTGTCAATTACATTTTTATGCATTATTCCACCACAAAAAAAATTACAGAGTTGAAACTAGAAGAAACAATTCACTTTTTATTCTCGTTCATGACTCATGAGTAAGCTGAGAGCTGCAGGTTGAAAATCTCATTCCAAGTTTGAAGAGAGATAGCCTCAGACCTCCAGTCCCAGTCAGGGAGAAGGCAAGAGGACCTGGAGTCTGGTCAGCACCCAGACTGCCCTACCGAGCTCAAGCGTCCTGAGCTAGGAGTGCATGACGTTCCTGCAAAAGATAGGAGCCATGTTTGAAACCCAAAAGTCTGAGGCTGGTGAGATGGCTCACTAGGTAAACACTCACAGCCTAGCCTGATGTCCTGGATTGGATCTTCACATGTGTGCCATTTGCATGCATGTACGTGTGCATGGTACACATACAAATAAATGTAATTTTTAAAAAGAAAAAATGGGGGGCTGGAGAGATGACTCAGTGGTTAAGAACACTGACTTCTTACAGAAGACATGGGTTCAAATGCCAGCACCCACATGGCAACTAACAACCATTGGTAACTCCAGTTCCAGGGGCTCTGACCCCCTCTTCTGCCCTCCGCAAGCACTGTACCACATGGGTGCACTTATACACATGCAGGCACAACACTCATACATACACATAAAATTAAATAAATTGAAAGAAAGAGAGAGAGAAAGACAGAAAGAGAGAGAGAAAGAAAAAAAAGAAAGAAAGAAAGAGAAAGAAAGAAAACCAAGGACTGGAGTGATGGCTTGGTGGTTAAGAGCACTAGCTGCTCTTGCAGAAGACCTGGGTTTGAATCCCAGCACCCACATGGCTACTAAAAACTGTTTAGAACTCTGGTTCCATGAGATCTGACCCTTTCTTATGGCCTTTGTGGGTACTGCAGGACACGGGTGCACTTGCATACATGCAAGTGTAACAGTCACACACATTAAATAAAATAAAATTAATAATTGAAAATTTTTTAAAAAGAAAAAAAAATAAAACCAAAGAAATCTACATCATAATACTACAAGCTTTTAATAAAGTTGTTTACAGAGTTTTTGGGAAGCCTAGGGTTAGGGAGAGTAGCAACCAGGTTTCAGAGGTTGTGGGTGAGCAGGGATGGGGGAGTTACTCTGAACTCAGAAGCAAGAGTGACTGGTCTGTTTCATTGTCTGTGTATCATACATTTACCAGCAGATCATTCTCATTTCTTAACGTTTTTCAGCACATCAAGAGCAACCAGGAGTTGTCAGAGAAGCTGTCTGGGCTACAACAAGAGAAAGAAGCTCTGTGGCAGGAACGTGAGCGATTTTTGGAGCACCTCGATGAACATGTGAGGTAGCAAAGCAAGTTCCCTGTGGACCAACATGACATGGCGGGGAGGGAAGCTGTTCCCTGCAAGCAGCCCCTGGTGGAGCAATCACACTGAAGCCACCCCTCAAGGCCATCAGCATGGCTTCTCAGACATCCCATCTACATGGGGCTTTTCCAAGGGACACACGGGGCCCAATTTCTTACCAGGGAGGGAGATGTACCATTTATTGAGCTGTTTGTGTGGAACTTGGTTTCACAGGGTCACTCTCACTGTCTTCAGGGTTTTTTCCCTCACAATCTTTCTTCAGCCTGGACCACATGTTCTGGATCTCAGAATCAGGGAGCCCAGAAGTCTCAGCTGAGTCTTTGCCAGTCACATAACCTGCCATGTCACCCACCTCTCGAGCAGAGACTTCCTGGGGCCTCCCCAAGACCAGGCACCAGCTCCTTCTTACTGCTACCAATGAACGATGCCAGCATGCTGGTACAAACAGCCACAGGACTTCCTGGACCTGTAGTTCCCAAGATACATTGTTTAAATCACTGTGTTTCATGCTCTGGCCAGCAGGCAGTGCCAAGCCAGGTAAAAGGCGAAGCAAGCAGGAAAGTGGCAGAACAGCTTGGGCTAGCTCTGGCCTGCTGGAATTACTTAGTGGTCTGATGATTGACTAGAATTTATGCATCTTAAATGTACTGGCAAACAGAAGCACCTCACCACAGCAGCCATTGTGGAAGAGTCGAGGTCTCCCTCCATCCTCATTTGCACTGATTGAGGAAGGAGGCCACCTTGGTGAAAATTTCCTCCAGTATCCTTGGGTTTGATTTAGGTATAATTTACATACAATGCAAAAAAAAACCAAACAAACAAACAAAAAAACTAACGTGCAATTCTATAAGTTTTGACAAACTTGTATATGCATGTAACATAACTCCCAACGCAATCAAGATGTGGAACTTGTCCACTACTCCTTAAAAGTTTCTCCTGAAGCAGGACATGGTGGTACACACCTTTAGCCCCAGCACGCAGGAGACAGGCAGGAGGATCTCTGTGGGATGGAGGCCAGCCTGGTCTACGCAGTGAGTTGCAGGCCCGCTGGGGCTCCAGGGGGAGCCTCTCCTGCCAGTTAGCATTCAGTCCGCAGCTCCTGTACCTTCCTCCAGGCACCCGTTGTCCTGATGTCTGCCTTTTCTAAAATGCCATCTAAATAGGCTCACTCTGCATGCTTTGTGTGTCTTCTTTCACTCAACATATTCCATTATTTTCATGTGTGTGTACAGCCAGAACTTGCCATTGTGTTTTGAATTTTTGTTTCTGATGGCCAATGAGGTGGAATATTTCCATGTCATTTATGCATGGCCTTTAGGAAAATGAAGCCAACTCTGGCTACATGTGCCTGGGTCCTAACATAGATGCATTTAATCAAAACCTGTGGGCATGGGGTCTATAAATCAATATTTTTCCAAAGCATTGCCATGTGACTCTATGTGTATCCAAAGTTGAATACTACAGATTATGAAGGAGAATGAAAGGAGCTGTCAAAACTCTGGGTTCATTTGGTTTTCATTTCCCTGACCCCAGAGCTGACCTTTACAGATAAAGCTCATTTTTACGTGTTCTCCTGGCCACCATTGCAAAGGAACACATTCTTTGCCTTCTTGAAATCAAAGTAATAGACAATCTGGTTTTACTTAAATACAAGCTAAAAATTGTCCCTAAATGTGTAAGTCTTGTGCTGCCTCGTGATTCTAGTAAACAAAGTCAGAGTAAACAGAAAATACACATTCTCTAAGCAAACTGACCAATAGAAATTCAGACAAGCCAGTTCCTGTGACAAATAGCCAGCAATGGCAAAGGAAGGCTGCGAGTGCTGCCTGGCTGTACTGCATCCTGTAGCCGTCACACCACACTTAGCACTCACTACAGAGAGAAACATAGATGTCGAAAGCTAGGAGGCCAGTTAAGCGATGTGTAATAGATACACCCACCTAATGGAGCATAAATCTGTAAAGGACAGTGACCAGGAACACTAGATAAAACTCTGGGGATGCGAAGAATTAAGAGTAGAAGAGAAATATTTTGTTTTATTATTTTTTATTTGTTTGAGTGTGTTCCTGCTGTATGTGTACCATGTTGTACAATGCCTACAGAGGTCAGAAGAGGGTGTCGGATTCCCCTGGAACTGGAGTTACAGATGGTTTTTAGCTGCCATGTGGGTGCTGGGAATCGAACCCAGGTACTCTTCAAGAGCAGCTAGTGCTCTTAACCACTGAGCCATCTTTCCAGCCCCTAGAAGAGAAAAATTTTAATTAATACAGTGTTTAAAAAAGCATATTTAAGCCAGATGTGGTGGTACATGCCTTTAATCCCGGTACCTCAGGAGGCAGAGGCAGGCAGATCTGTGTGAGATGGTGGCAAGCCTGGTCTACAATAGGAAGTTCTAGGCCAGCTGGGGCTACAGGGAGACATTGTCAAAACAAAACACAAGACCAACCAAACAAAAAAAGGATGCTTATTTAAAAAAAAAAAAAAAAAAAACAGAGGAGGCTGGAGAGATGGTTCAGTGGTTAAGAGTATATACTGCTCTTCCAGAGGACCTGGGTTCAGTTCCAAGCATCCATACTGGGCAGTTCATAACCACCTGTAACTCCAGCTCCAGGGGCTTCAAGGCCCTCTTCTATCCTCCATGAGCACTGCACTAATTTGCTGACATCCACATTCCAGCCAAGAAGCAGGAAGAAGGAGAAGGCAAGGGCATGCCAGCTTCTCTTAAGACAAACCCACATACAGACACACATACATAATTTTTTAAAAACTAGAAGAAGCTGGGTATAGTGCCAGTGCTCAGGAGGCAGAGGCAGGTGGATCTCTGTGAGTTCAAGGCCAGCCTGGTCTACATAGTGAGTTCCAGGCCAGCAGCCCCACTACAGGGAGAACCTGTCTCTAAAAGGGAAAAAGAAATCTAGAAGAAAAACAGTAATATAATACTGATCATATTGAGAATTGGCTATTTTCCCAATTTTTCTATAATTTATTCTCTTCCTTTAAAAAATAAAGTTTTAAGCCAGGTGTGGTGGCACATGCCTTTAGTCCCAGCACTTGGGAGGCAAAGGCAGGTTCTCTGTGAGTTCAAGGCCAGCCTTGTGTACAAAGTGAGTTCCTCCCTGTAACTAGGGCTACAGGGAGTTCCTGTCTCAAAAAGACCCCCCCCAAAAAATTTAAACTTTAAAATAATCTGAATGGTAAGACAGCAACTCATTGGTATGGGAAGCTGAAGAGTAGATTTTAATAGGATAGGTATAGGATAGGTAGAAGAAATTCTAGAAGTATGCATTGTGCGTCAAAAGATGTCAAAGCCTTACTCTGTGGTACTGCATACCTGTAATCCCAGTGGTTGGGTGGTAGAGGCAGGAGGATCAGGAGTTTAAGATCAGCTTTGGGTATATAGCCAAGTTTGAGGCCAGCCTGGGTGACATGACACAAAACATTTTTTTTAAAGCTACCATGATTTTAGCTGGATGTGGTGGCACACACCTGTAATCCCAGCACTTAGGAGGTAGATGCAGGGACATTAGGCATTTGAGATCAGCGTGGGCCACATAATGAGACCCTGTCTCAAAAAAAAAAAAAAAAATCTGTCAGAGCCACTGTGAACACCTGGAAAACTTCAAGGCTGATAGGTGGGTGTGAGCACCGTGAGCTGCTCCACATCCACTCTTCAGGATGCTGACAATGCAAGGCGAGCCTTTACCAAGCACTCCCCCCAGAAAGAAGAGTTCATTTATGAGACAAAACATCTTATACTCTAAGTCACCAGGTGTGGAGGCGCATGCCTGTAGTCCCAGGACTTGGGAGGCAGAGGCAGGCAGATCTCTGTGAGTTCAAGGCCAGCTTGGTCTACATAGTGAGCTCCAGACTAACTGGGGCTACAGGGAAACCCTGTCTCAAAAAGACCAAAAAAAAAAAAGACTGTAAGTCATAGCAACGGTAACTGAGCACAATTTACAAAAGTGAGCCTCACCTTATGGAGTAGTTGCTATGCAAGGGCCACAGATCAAAATGGGTCTGTGACGAGTTTATGAAAGCAATCATCTATAGTGAACTCTGTTAGTTAGGATATTGTACTAGAAACTGAATAAAAATGGCTTTGGGGGCCAAGGAGATGATTCAGTTGGTAAAGTCAGATGACGACCTGTGTTCAAATCCCCAGAGTCCGTGTACAAAGCCTGTAACCCCAGCACTGAGGGTGAAGAGAAGACAAACAGGTCCTGGAGCTCAACGGCCACCCAGCCCAGTCACATGGGTGAACTCCAAGCTCAGAGAGAGACCCTGTCTCAAAAAATAAGATCGAGGACGTCAGTATAAGGTGCAGACCGCAGCAGTGTGGTCTGTTCTTGCAGTTCAATCTTGATTGTCTCTTGAGAGCCATGGAGACTTTTACCTGGGTTACTACATGGACCACAAAGAAAGTTCAGTTATGAGTTCCTGGAGTTTGAGTTCCCAAGACCTGACAGGAAATTGAGCTATGCCAACAACAGCAATTACAAAAGTGATGGTATGGGGCCAGGCGTGGTGGTGCACACTTTTAATCCCAGCACTCTGGAGGCAGAGGCAGGCAGATCTCTGTGAGTTCAAGGCCAGCCTGGTCTACATAGTGAGTTCCAGGACAGCTGGGGCTACAGGGAGACTCTGTCTCAAAAAGACCCCCCCCCAAAAAAATGATGTTATGATCAGAAAAGAGGCTATGTACATAAAAGTGTGATGGAAGAACTAAGAATTATTGATGACAGTGAAATTACCAAGGAAGATGATGCTCTATGGCCCCTCCTGACAGAGTAGGCTGGCAAGAGCTTGAAATCGTCATTGGAGATGAACACGTTTCTTTCACAACATCAAACATTAGTTCCCTTATTGGTCTAAGGATCGAGAAGGGAGTGTTTTATTATCTTGTTCTGGACCTGAAATGTTTAGTCTTCAGTCTTACTGGATTGTACTTCAAGATTAAACCAATGTAGATTGAATGTTG